GAAAATTGGTTATTGGATTGGCATACATTTCACTAAACTTCCGATACTTTCGTAAGGTTATTAATGGTTTCATGCATCATGTACTGAACCTTGAATGATGTCAGAAGTTAGTTTGTGATTTTTGTACATCTTTCACCAAACCTTCGATAGTTTCGTTAATTAATTTATAGTTTCGTACATTGTGTATTAAACTTTTGGTAGTTTCGGAAATTACTTTATGGCTTCATATATTCTATATTAAACCTTCGATGGATCCGCAAAGTAGTTCATGGTTTGCTAGATCATGTACTGAACCTTTGATAGTGCCTGGAATTGGTTTGTAGTTTCGTAGTTCTTGTACTAAAGCTGTGATAGTTCCGTACATTTAGCAATAAACCTCGGGTAGTTTCATAAGTGAATTTATGATTTTGTAGATGAAGTGCTAAACCTCTGGTGGTTTCATAAATTACTTTATGGTTTGATGGATCTTCTAATAAAACTGTAATAGTTTCGTAAGTTGAAATACAGTTAAGTACACGATCCATCAAACCTCGGATGGTTTCATTAATTGCTTTTGTAGTTTGGTACATCTTCCACCGAACTTCTAGTAGTTTCGTAAGTTAATATATGGTTTCCTAGATCATGTACTGAACCATTGATGGTGTGGGAAGTTTGTTTGTGGATTTGTACATCTTGTGTGAAAACTTCGCTAGTTTTGTAGATCGCTGAAGTTTTTATGAAATGTCGACAAAAAGGTTCTAGACGTTGTTATGTAACCAAAGATTACGCTTTTTTATGCGAGTAATTATCTCAAGTTTCGCAGCAAATTGAAAAGTTCCGTTATGTAAACTGAGCTTTTCACCATGATATTATTTGCAGATCTCGAACAGTTCGGCTTTAATTCTGATCTATCGAAATCTTCGAACAAATCAGTTCTAGGAACTGATCCACCAATTTTTGAACACTATCTAGGGATGTTCTCCATAACTTGACCACAGTTCTCTGTACCGAGAAGTCTGCCGAACCGGAAGACTCTTTCTTGAGGCGTATGAGCTTAACATTTTCTTAATTCATCCCTATTTCCAGATAGTGTTTTCTCAATTATTGCAGAGACAAAACATGGTATTCATCGGTGCATATCGTAGAGAATCATTGATAACCTCTGTATTGCCCTAGACGACACTATCATTTACATCGACGATTGTGAAAAAATCGCTTGCGGAGATCTGATTCATTAGACGCGCCGATTCTCTATCATATGCCCTCAACAATAATATGTCACTTCCATAAAATAACAGAAAAAGCATCCTGGAAAAATAGCGGTTTTCTCGCGAAAATCTCAAGTTCACAGCTTGAGAAACTATATTACGATTCTGATTACCGGAAGTCCAGAACTCTGATAAAGTTAAAGAGACAATCTCTAGATAGTCTCGAAAAAATGAAAAGGCACATCTATAGTTCATCTTGAAGAAGCTATAAGGACTACTCTTAAATAGCCCCAAAGAGTTATAAGACTCGACCGAATTAGTTCCAAATAGTCATATAGACTGCTCTCAGATAGACCCCAACATGGGATAAGGACGATCTCCTTCTACTCGCCAAAGATTTGTACAAACTAAACTATGGTAATACCAAAAACGTTATTAATACTTCTTCCATAAAGCCCTGAAAAAGTTACTAAGGGTTACCCGAGATAGCTCTCGAAAAGTTACCAAGGATACCCCTAAGATAATTCTCGGAAAGTAACTAAGAGCACCCCGAGATAGCCCTCAAAAAGTCACCAAAAGTATCCTGTGATAGTCTTCGAAAAGTTACCAAGGGCATCCCTAGATAGCCTTTCAAAATTTACAAATAGCACCTGCAGATAAGTCTCGAAACGCTGCTAGCAGTGTCCAGATAAGCATCTTGAAAGATTATAGAAATCACTCTTAAGGATATGTGAAAAAGTTACTGAACCTTTACGTTCACTACTCACTCACCGTTTTGTTTTGCGGATGACACTACATATACACCTCGGACTTGATGAAAAATTATTATCATTTAAGTGTTTGTGTAACAGAGGTGCGCGAATACAAGTACAATTTGTACTCTCAATTACTCATATACTTTTATAAATCAAATATGTACTCTGACTACCATATGTACTCGGGAAAAGTTTAGAATCGGTTGCGATATACTCTCATGTACAGTCATGTACTGGTCGAAAAACTTAGAATTACTTGGTATGTACTCTCATATACTATCGGGTGTGGGTGTTGGTTTCCGTCTGAGAGAATATCCGTATCCTACGCTCACACCCACGCTCGATAGTACATGAGAGTACATACCAAGTAATTCTAAGTTTTTCGACTCAGTACACAATAGTATATGACAGTACATTCCCACCGATTCTAAACTTTTTCCCAGTACATGCGACGATCAGAGTACATGAGAGTACATCCTCGCTAATTCTAAATTTATGGGAGTGATGCTGATTTCAGAGTACATTTTGTACTCGTACTCGCGCAGCCCTCTTGTGTAAATGGGTTGTTATATTGTGGAGGATATTCTTGACACGTGAATACATATGAACAAGGACTTTTGAGATAAATTGGTACCCTAATTAATTATATATAATTACAGGTTCGGTAGTGACACTGGTGAAGACAATATTTTTCCGATCCTTGCGATTTAATGGGTAAGTTTGTTGTGTACAACAAATGAATTTGTTTTCTTTTATAGGTTATTCTCAAAAGAGTGTGAAGCGTAAGTTTATTATCTAATATATATTAACTTGTTCCAACTTCAAATCTACTCTAGGATAAAAATCTTAAGTAAGTTTCACTAGAGGAGAGTTGAGATAGATTTGAAAAAATAAACTTAACTGAATTTCTCTTTCCATTTTAGATTGACGTCAAGATTATGTCAAAAGTAAGATACAATTGAAAATAGAAAGTAAACTGAAATTTGTTCTTCATTTTAGATTAAGTCGAAGACCAGAAGCGTGGTAAGATGAATTTGAAAATGTGAACTAATCTGAAATTCTTTCTTTTAGTTTACATTGACTTCAAGATTCGATCTAAGGTAAGATGAATTTGAAAAATCTAAATGAAAATACTTGTTTATGTTTTAGGTCGACTTCAAGGTGTAGCAAGGGTAAGTTCTTTTTGAGAACGAAGCGGTAGGGGGTGAGAAAAATAGCAGTGATATACTTGCCGAGGGAATCACTACAAGTTACTTGTTGTTCTAATGTTATATGATGTCCTCTCTGTTCGAGTAAATTTGCTTTCTTGAGTACAGATGACGTTATTTAACATCTGAATAGCATAAGTGAGTCGTAGTGACTCGGCGGGCGAGTGTGTCACTGCTATTTTTCTCATTCCGTATTGTACCGGTAGGCATTAGTAAAGCTTTAGTTGAAAGAGAAATATACGGAACCTTTTTCAATAACCACTTAAATGATTCTTTACGGAAACTTGATTCCGGAGCCTTTCGTTCAGTTTGAGAAAAAAGGTTTTGTACAAAACCTTTATTGCGAAACCTTTTTTTACCATTTTTCAGAAAAGGTTGGGTACGAAACCACCTATTTTACAAAACCAGAAAAAGGATCTTCCCTTGTATCGAGAGAATGAATCTTTTTTGATTCGGTAAAAATCTTTTTTTTTAGAGTGCAGATACGGCTAATT